CTAGACCCTGCTGAAATAGGGCATCTAGAACCTCGCTTTGCCACATGCCGAAATGACCGGTGCCATCAAAAATCTCCACTGCAAATCTAACATTTGTCACAGCATTTCTTGCCAAAATTGAAGATGAAGAAGCGTCTGTCATTTCTGCTATAAATTATATTTAATAGCTGCCAATGCGGAATGTCAATTATCCCAAGAAAATTTTTCTGATGTGGAAGATCAGCCTAAGCCGCAACCACAAAGCATACTAAAATAAACCAAGAGTGTTGATACCAATTGTTGTGATATTTGGGTTAATTTCCACCAATAACAATTCACCTTCGAAACTATTATCTAGGTGACTAGTGTGAAAATGATTGTACTAAAAATCACCCCAAGGTAGATTCCCAGGAAAGAGGAGGGGTCACAATGGTCCCTCTTAAAATCCACTTTCCTTAGACAGAACTACCAAGACAAGTAATTTTAATAGGACAATAATTAACAACAACTATACCCGAAAATAGCTATTAAATAGACATAAAAGAGAACACCAAAATATTTCACTAATAGAGGAAATATTACAAAGAGAGAAAGAATACAAATAGCCTTTAAAATAGAAGAAGGCTTATATTTGTGGGATGATTAAATAAGGAGGAGGAGGGCTTTATTTATAACAAAAGAATTTCCCCTCCTCCTTATACACAACCAATGCGGGACTTTTGCCAAAAACCAACAGAGGGGTATGGTGCTCCCCCCAGCCCCGATGGTTTCAATATGGAATTCTTTAAGAAGTCTGGAGTGATCTTAAAAGTGAGGTGATGGTGTTCTTCGAGAATTTCTATCAGGGAATAATCTTCGACAAATCCTTTAATCATTCTTTTGTAACACTCATACCAAAGGTATCCTCGCCGGTTGACATCGAAGATTTCAGGCCTATTAGCCTAGTGGGGAGTCTCTATAAAATCCTTACGCGAGTTCTTTCTAAAAGATTAGCGAGATGCATTAACGAGGTTGTTGGTGAAACTCAATTCACCTTCTCAGCAGGCACGCAGATCACTGATTGTGCTTTAATTGCTAATGTGGTCATCGATTCCCTAAGGCGCAATAATTGTGAGGCCGTGATGATTAAAGCATATTTTAAAAAGGTGTATGATACGATTGATTGGTCGTTTTTGGACCTCATCCTCAAGAAGATGGGTTTTGGATCAAGATGGCGAAATTGGATTCAGTTATGTGTATCTAATGCTTCAATTTCCGTTCTTATAAATGGATCTTCTTTTGGGTTGTTTAGTATGAGCAGAGGTTTAAGGCAGGGTGCTCATTATCACCATTCCTATTCAACATTGTAGCCGAGCTCTATCAGCTCTAATTCGTAAGGCTTCTACTATTGGTTATATAAAAGGAGTGAAGGTGGGGTCGTAGGGCATAGAGGTGTTGCACTTTGCGGATGACCTAGTTTTCCTAGATGCTTCTAAATCTTATGTTTTAAACATTAAGAGATTGCTAAGAGTTTTCGAGTTCTCTTCCGGGCTGAAATTGAATGTAAAAAAGAAAGTGTATGGTGTCAACTTATGTAACGTTCTCCTCTTAACATGGGCAGTTTCTATCAAGTGTGGGTCGATTCCCTCCCTACACATTATCTAGGACTTCCACTGGGTTTTCGTCGTAATTCAAAGGCTATGTGGCAACCCATCATTAATAAAGTCCAAGCAAGATTAGACCGATGAAAAAGCAATCTGTTGTCGTTTGGAGGTCGGCTGTCGTTAGTTAAATCGGTTTTGGTCAATTTGCTGGTATTCTATATGTCCCTCTTTAAACTTCCTGCGGCTATTGCATCGAAGTTGAATAAGATGGTAGCTAATTTCATTTGGGGATCATCGGACGATAAGTCGATTCATTGGATAAAATGGGAGAAGATTACAAAGACTAAATAGTATGGTGGTGTCGGCTTCTTCGATGTAAATATCCAAAATCGCTCTCTTCTAAATAAATGGCTATGGAGGTATGGGAACGGACTTTTCTCCCTATGGAGGAGAGTGGTGGATGCAAAAAATGGGTTTGAGTCGAGAAGTTTATTGCCCCCTTTGCCATTGCTAGGCATAGGTCTTGGATTTGGAGTAACATTACAAGGCCATTACTCAATCCCAACGATGGTTTCACTCGATATCTCCATTTTACCCTGGATGATGGGCAGTCAATCTATTTTGGCCTGGGCGAGGCGACTTTGATCAGGTGTAGCAAGGCGCGCCTAAGGCGCAAAAAGGCGCCGCCTTTCCATTTTCTTTGTTCTCTGTGTTGTGCTTATTTGTCGTTTGGGTTTTTTTTCGGTTAGCAAGGGTTAGGTTCACCCTAGAGGATCCAATTGCCCGAATCCATGCTTATGCTTATTGTCACGCCCCCAGAACTTCGACGCCTCACACCGTCGGAATATCAGAGTCAAGGTCTGACGGGTCGTGCGACCTTAGACGCTTTAGACGCTCCTCGGTCTTCTCGGTGACTAAGTAAGCCTTACCCAAGCTAAGTGAGTGTGCAAACTCACAAAGGTTGGAACCAAGCCCTCAAGGCTTCGGATTGCGGAAGCTTTAGAATGCCGACAAGGTCGGACTATCGTGTGGAAGTGCTAACACGAAGGTGGCTACTCCTGGCCACCGAGCTAGGCAACAAGAACAAAGAAACTAAAGAACTCAGAAAGAATAGAGCAAATGCCTCAGAGCTTATATTACTCTCTCAAAGAGAAGAATGGAATTGGGTGATTACAAATGAGGAGGAGAGCTCTCTATTTATAGTTGAGCTCCCTCTCAATCGATGGCTAAGATCGTTTTACATCAACGGCTAAGATTTGCCCAATTAATGAAAAATCCCCTAAATCAAGGAATTACAACCAAATCCTTCCTAATTACATCCATTAGTAGGATTATTTCCTTGGATAGGTGTTCACACTGGATATGGTAAGATTTTCCCACAATATCTTCCTGATTTTGTTGCCTCTTGCCATATTTACCGAGCTTCTGTGATCATCTTCAGATATGATGCCACTTTCCTTTTCTGCACGGCCAATGTGAACGGGCTCCATAGCATTCTCCAAGCGATGGGCCAAGTCTAGTGGCTTTGGCAAGCCCGATAACTATCTTGAGATTCCCTTTCGGACTCTTGCACCAATGTCTTAGCAAGCCCGATCCTCTGTCTTGAACCTCTCTGTCGGACACTTGCATCAGTGTCTCAGACCCAAGTTCCTAGCCCGTGACATTATGCTAAAGATGTGGTAAAGACATTATCGAACCATTTTACTTCACATTTGAAAATGGTGCCATCTGCTGCTTTGATTTTGTGAAGTATCTTATCTGTATCAGTGTATTGTGAAATTGATATTTACTTGTTAGTATATTATGCATTTCTCATGACTCTTGTATAATGTTTAAATTCTAGTTTGTTACATATCTTAAGGAGAATTTTTTTCAATGGTTCATCCACTCATGCAGTATGCGTTCCGTGTTCTTTTAGAACCTTATGATTTGTATATGTATTATTACTGATTCGAGAGTTACAGCTATTAGAATTGCCTTGTAACATAACTATGCATATTGATAAGGGATAGTTAAAGGGGGTGATGAGTGTGATAGCATCCTAAATATTTCGAATTCTCATATAATTTAGATGTTTTTTTATTGATAATTTGATTTAATCTTTAATATAATGTTTTTATTGATAATTTGATTTAATCTTTAATCTAGTATTTTTATTGATAATTGCTTCATGTGCATTTATTCTCCTTGATTGATTCATGTTGAAGTTGAACATTTAAATAATCATATTATTCGTATCACCCAAAATTTTATAGAATGTAAATAATTTTGAAGTGATGCTTAATACATAAAATGATGATATGAACTCTTTGGTGTTTACATTGCAAGATATGTTCTTTTTGTTTGACTATACAACTAGAAAAAATATATATATCTTTTATTTTCAAAAAGTGCGCCCTTGTGCCTCGGCCATGATACCCCTATCGCCTTGGTGTGTCTTGCGCCCTTTTTAACACTGTTAAAATATAAACATTTAAAAATTGTATTAAGTTGCGTATATTAAATTTTAATAATAAAAAAATATTTAATATTAAATTAAAAATTGAATAAATATTTTTTTAAGAAAAATAATATGAGAGAGGCTAAAATGGATTTGGACTAGTATAAAGTTTAATAGTATCATTAGTCTGATCAGAACCCGGACCTGACCTAGGCCATGAACATTTCCGATGGCAATGCCATTTTTGTAGCCCTGACATGAAACTTCAGAAACCTTGATCTCGTGGGTGAGCTAAAATTCACCAAAACTCTTGCAATTGAATCATTTAGTTTATATTGTCTAATAATTCTATTGAATTAGTCAGAGCATCTTTAATGATATTCGTCGCTGGTACCCTGGTACACTAATAATCTGGTTTGGTGGCTGTAATCCATCTTTTCTGCAGCTTGTTAAACTTCCTCGTTCGCCAAATGTTGATGATATTTTGACAAAGTACCTTGAATATTCGTTTACTCCTCCAAACAATCATTGATTAATCATATAGTAATTTGTTTTTGAATAATTAGTTTCCATTTTGTCCTCTATCTTACCATTTGTTACATCCTGTGATATTAGTTATATTTAGATTTTATATTTCCTTGTAAAACATCTATCATGAAAGAAAATTTGAAACAACATTTTATGAGGTGTAATCTGAAGGTCCGATAGATAAGAAAAACTAAATGAAGTATTCAAAGGAGAAACCCTATATATGGATTCAAAAGGAGAATTCTAGGGGCAATATTGTTCGAACTTTTGATTATACTTTGCCCGATGGTTATAAACAGGAAATTCTCCTTCTCCTTTGGTTTTGTTTACCTCTGAAATCTTAAGTTTACAATACAACGGGTGACAGACACTTTTTCTCTCGTGAGGACAGAATGACTGATTCAATTGGAGAGATCTTGAAAGGAATTCGCTGCTACTTCGACAAAGTTTTTTTTTTTTTTTTGGATAAGTCAGCTTTTATTATCCAAATAGCAGAATCTGCTACAAAATACAAGAGGGTTCAAAACAAAAATGATCTACATACAAAAAGAATTAGTGATCAACAATACCCCAATGGTTGCATAGAGAAATATTAACACAATCAACTCTATTTATATTCCTACCTCTAAGTTGTATACTTACAATATCCTTTATAGCCTTAAAGATTTCTTCAACAGACCGGGAACGACCTTGGAACACCCTTTTGTTTCTTTCATCCCAGATTATGTAGATGAGAGCATTGAGAACAATCTTCATTACCATTGTTAGCAAGGATTTGCCTTTCCATGATGAGCAAGCCCACACTTCAAATGTTTCCCAAGAACGAGCAACAAAATGCAAACCAGATAGAGAGAAAATAGAATCCCAGATGATGACAACCGTGGGACAAGTAAGAAACATGTGCTCCCTTATTTCCAGTTCTGAATTGCAGAGAACACAGAAGCTTTCATTGATAAGTCCCATTTTTTAAAGCCTTTCTTTTGTTGGTAGCCTATCAAGAAAAGCCATCCAAGCTATCAGACTATGCTTGGGAATATGCAAGGGAAACCATAGAAGTTTCTGCCAAGGAACTTTAGGCTTTTTTTCTCGAATAAAATCCCATATTGCAGTAGCATTCAAAGCTCCAGAGGACAGAACTTGGTGAGCTTCTGGTCTTAGCTTCAACAGTTTCTTTAAACTCCAACTGGCAGTGGAGTTTATATCAACAGTCCAGAAATCTTTCTTTTTAAAAACGTAGTTTTGTAGCCAAGCGACCCATATAGATCCTTCGCCTGCAAGGATTTTTTTAATTAATAAAATCATGCTGGCTTTATTCTAGGTTTTCATGTCCTTTAACCCAAGACCACCTTCAGATTTCAAGTGGCAAATATTTTTCCAACTCACTCTTGCTCCAGTACCAGCTTTGTCTGTCCCCTTCCAGAAAAACCGAGAGCATAGTTGCTCGATCTTCTTCAAAACTGAGTGAGGAAGGAAAACCTGTCTACACCAGAAATTGGTGATACTTGACAGAAAAATCTTGATGAGTTCCAGCCTTCCTGCATAGCTAAGAGTTTTAGTGGACCAGTTGTGTAATCTTGTTTTGATGGAATCGATAAGAATCACACAATCTTTTTCAGAAATTTTCCTAGTGAGCAGAGGGATACCAAGGTAATGAACTGGCAGAATATCAAGTTTGAAGCCTTTAATCTTTTTAATTTCCTCTGTTGCAGCAATGGACATTCCAACATCAAATAATTCACTTTTTGAAGCATTAAGTTTAAGACCTGAAATCTCGTAAAAATTTTCTAGCACACAAGTAACCCCAGTAACAAAATTAACATTCCCTTTGTAAAATATTAGACGGTCATCAGCAAAAGATAGGTGTGTCAAACCTATTTTTTTATATTTGGGGTGGTAGTTGAATAATCCTCTAGAAGCTGCCAAATTAAGGAGATGAAAAATGACATTCAAAGAGAGGACAAACAGTAAAAGAGAAAGGGGGTCTCCTTGCCTTAGACCTTTGGCTCCCTTAAAGAATCCAGTCAGACTACCATTAAAAGAGACTGGGTAGCTTGCAGTAGAATAACAAATTTCAATCCATGTGACAAAGGACCTTGGAAGGTCAATGGACTTCAAAATGGCAGAAATAAAGTTCCAATTGAGAGAGTCAAAAGCTTTGTGCAGGTCAATTTTCAGAGAACATCTAGGGGAGAGGTTTTTCTTACTATAAGCTCTAACAAGTTCTTGAGCCAGTAAGGTGTTATCAGTAATGTTTCTCCCTTTAACAAAAGAAGACTAATTAAGTATGACCAGGTCAGGCATAAAAGAAGTCATTCTTTTAACCAAAATCTTAGAGATAGCCTTATAGACCACAGAACAACATGAGATTGGTCTAAAGTCCTTAACCTTACTAAGGTTAGGAAGCTTTGGAACCAGTGCAATAATAGTTGTGTTGAAGGCAGGGAGGAGGAAAGAATCTTGAAAAAATTGAGATATAGCAGCAACAACATCACTCTCAATAACATGCCAAGTTTTTTTAAAAAAGAAAGGTGAGAATCCATCTGGGCCTGGAGATTTTTCGTTTCCTTGATTGAAGAATGCCTCCTTTATCTCCTCTTTAGTAACCTCCTGCACTAGAGAATCAGCCTTATCAGTAGGCAAGGAGAAATTAAATAAATCCTTTAACAAATTAGGATTGATATTATTGACTGCAGGGACTTCAGTGCCAATCAAGTTGGTGAAGAATTGAATCACCTCAGCAGACATTTAATCAAATGATTCCAGTCTATTGCCATTCTCATCAATGAGGATACAAATAGTGTCTTTTTTATTTTTATGCGCAACAGCTGAGTGGAAAAATCTGGTGCATTTATCCCCCTCCTTTAACCATTGAACTTTTACTTTTTGTCTGAAAAAAATGTTTCAGCTTCTTCCAGAAATTTTAACTCACTTTGGAGGAGTAGTTCTTTGGCAATGTCATCTTCTCCTTTAAGAGTTTTTAGTTGTTGCTGCTCAATGACAGATTTCAATTGTTTAACCCTTGCAGGGAGGTCACTAAACCATGTCTGGTTTAGTTTCTTGAGGCAGGTTTTCAATCTCTTTAACTTAGTGAAAAGAATCTTCATCGGGTTACCAAAAGTGGGTCTCTGCCAAGACTGTTGCACCACCTCCATGAAACTAGGGTGATTGGTCCAATAGTTGAAGAATTTAAAAGGCTTTGTCCTATTGGTTTGAGCTTCTTTTTTTAGCGAAACTTGAGCAAGGCAATGGTCAGAGATACCAAGAGCTTGAAACTCTACATGAGAGTCCTTGAAGGTGGTCACCCAATTAGAATTAACTAGAACTCTATCGAGTTTTCTAGCAAGGTAAGAATTCTGTTGTTTTTTGATCCAAGTGAAGGAAGGGCCAAAAAAAAGGGTGGTCAGTAAGGTCAAGATCAAAAAGCACTTCTTGAAAGTCTCTCATATCTGAAGTGGATAAAGGTCTAATGAGATCGCAATCAGAACTTTCATGAGAGAAAAAGGATTTTATTGAAGTATCCTCCAATAATCCATGGGGCTTGGCCAACAATATCTTCCAAATCACGTAACTGTTGCCAGAGGAGCCTTCTTGCAATACCATTATTGCTTCCATAGACAGCAGTAATGACAAGAGGAATATTTAGAAACTGTCCTTGAATTGTTAAACACTGATTTGAAGAATGAATAATCGAGAAGTTGAGACATTTTCTCCAAAGGATCCAAATTCTACCATTTAAGGCATGATCATAGTTTGAAATTTCATTTCAGCCAGCAAATTTTTTTATTGATAATAGTAGCAGACTTTTAAATTTTCACTCTGGTTTCCAATAAACGAAAAACGTCCAAATTATTCTTAGTAGCTCTCCTAATAACTCTTTCTTGTTTAAGAGGACAGTTGAGTCCTCTAACATTCCAAAATGCAAGAATTATTGTGATGGAGTAATGGTTTTACCCCCCCCACCAGCAACCTCTGCACTCTTAGGTTTATCAAGTAAGTCTTTCTTCTTCACCTTAAGTTCCTTGACAATGGAAACCACTCCTAGTGAAGATGCACGAGGTTTTCTATGATTTTCCACTGGAGCAGAAGAAAGATCATCAACATCATTTAGAATTTGAAAACGGTTAGTTGAGCCGGCTATATCCACTTTTTGTTTCTCTTTTACAGGTATTCCACGCCCCTTTTTAGGGATAGAAGAAAGTTCTCCTTTGTTCTTGAGGTGTGTCTCTTTAGAGGTTGAATTGGAAAGCTCCTTAGCAGAATGGGTTTGATGAGCCACATTAGGTTCGGCATATTCATTAATATGATTTTCCACATTAATTCTTGACTCTTCATCAGTAGTGACAGAAAGGTGAATTTGATCTCCTATGGATTCATTTTTGTTGTTCTCACTCATTTCAACAGCATCACTTATGTCATTAATTTTCTTTGGAAGGATGTCATCTTTGTCTTGTAGTAACTCTATGCCTCCTATTGATACATCGGTTTCTAGAACAGTAGACAAAGGTTCCTTCTTCCTCTAGTCTTGAGGTTTGGCATTTACTGGGTTGTTAGACAGAGTGCAACTCTTTTCATTGTGGCCAAAGGTTTTACAATAGTTACATCGTGTTGGCATCCAAGGCACTTCCACCAAAATGGAGACCTTTTTCCCCTCTTTAAGTTCAACTTGTACATATTTGGGGATAGTATCTTTGGCTCCTACTTCAATACATAGCTTAGCATACTCAAGGTGAGTTTTTGCTACTGTTACAGAATCTATAGAGAGCGGGGAACCAATAGCACTAGCTATGTAGCTAAGGCCTAAGCGGGAGTAAAGCTCTAGAGGAACGTTAAACAGATGGACCCAGATTGGCAAGGAGGAAAGATCAAAGCTTAGTTTTTAAAGATTCGGTTCCCATTTTCGCAAAATTAAAGGCTTGTTCAAGACATGTCAGGGGTCGTTTTCAAGTACCCAGTTCCTAGCACTTTCATAAGGGAAAGAAAAGACAAATAAATTGTTTCCAGCAATGCTTACCTGGACTCGAGCTCCTGCAAGAGATTTCCTCCATAATCCATCAACCAGCCTTTGCATTGAGGAAAAGCTCAGTGCAACACCCAGGAATTGACCCACAAGTGAAAGATTCCACTCCTTAATTCTGGCATCAAGCACCTCTTGTGGAGGTTGGACTGTTTTTGTTCCTTCGCTAACCCTAGGAGGGTGAAATTCTAGATCGTGGCCGTCTGTGCACCCAAAAAGCTGCCTCCAATCCATAGAGAATCGCTTCAATTGATAAAGAGGGATCAAGAGCAGACAGGGTGGGGGAAGAACGCTGAAGACAGTAGGGAAGAACGTCGGGACACGACGGAGAAACCAGAATCCGTTAGCCCTGCTAACGTGCACCCAAAGAAACTCGTTTCGGCGCCAGAATATTTGATTTAAAGTCGCTTTTTAGTTTACACTCAAGCGATACTTCGACAAAGCTTTGCCTGTAATGCTTCTATATAAAAAATAGCGCCAGCAGTTCCGTGAAGTAATAGTTGATGATGTATCCCCATCAACTATTTATGGTGCTGAGCATTTACTACGCCTCTTCGGTATGGCCAATTCTCGGGCTTGCTCTTCTGAATGTTTCTTTGATGAAGTTTCAAAAATCATGTTGTGCTGAATATGTCACCGCCCCCATTTCTTTTAGTTTTGCTCTTATTTACATATAAAACATCTATTTGCCGATACCATCAAGTCCCGAGAGCCTGTTTTGGTGACATCACCTTGAAACATGCATCAAAACGTTGTTGATGATATCAATTCCATGCGAATGTTATAAGTTTTGCTATAGTGATAACATGCTCCTGTGTTCGCAGTTAAGTTTCCTGAGCTATTGGCATATGTGAAAATTAAAGAGGAAACCTTGACTCACTTGCAACAGAAGTTAATTGATTTTCTCAAGTATCGACTCACTGCCTAGAGCATTTAATCTTTTAAACTCTGGCTTATTTAGAGCACAAATTATATTTCAATTTTTTCTTTTTTATTATTATAGAATTTATTCAAAAAGCCTCTTATACGGAATGCAAGTTAGTCCACATCTTTTCTATCCGCGTACTACGGATCTAGAGGTTCGGAGGGTAAAGGGAAAGATAACTAGACCGGCTGTCCCGAATTCGACCTATGATCAACTTTCAAGCTTGAAAATGTTGTAAGAGTAGAATATGTTAGATTCTTGGTTTCAAACCCCCCACCAAAACAAAAATTTGCAGGTTAGGCAACATTTAGTCCGAATGCATTTGTACACTTGATAGAGGGAAACTGCTTTTTTGTTAGTCTAATATTTATTATTGACCGTATGTTTTCTGTTTTTCTTTTAAAGAATCACGTTTTATAATTCAAGGATCTTTAGATTAACTAGCTTCTAATTTCACACGTGTTGTGCATGGTTTTATACTTACATCAAAGATTTTTTTAAAGCTACTTAATTTTCAGTTTTTTAGAGTCTTTTTTTTTTGTGAAGAAAATAATTAAAACAAATGGCTTTAAATGTTAACAAACAAAATATTTATCAAAATTGTATATTTATAAAATTAACTGGTATTTAATAACGTTGATCATCCCAACAACATTTTCAGTTGGTAACGTTGATCATGCAAGTCGAAAAAGCACCAAATCTCGATACGATAATTCCCACAACACTTTCTGATGCTAACGCTCATCATGAAAGAAATCCTCTTCCTAACCCTAAGTAGCTATTTGATGCTCATCATAAGTTTCTTCAAGCATTCGATACGGTAATATTCCCAGAACATGTTCTGATGCTAATGTTCCTCACGCAAGTCGAAACGAAACCGGGGACCAGTTATTTCTTTCTCCTAATCTAGCTATTTGATGTCTGTTGAAAGTTTCTTTATGCATTTCATATGACAACGGTCAAGAAAAACGGGGAAATCATCGGAAGGCATTAACTAAAACCATCGGTTTATTCAAAGTTCCTCTCCTACGGTTAAGTTTATATGCCTTTATGATTACTTACACAGCAAGCTCCTTCCGTACTAGACATTCGCAAACCCGAGAGCATACCTCAACAAACTTCAAGATGACAAGGAATCTATCCAAATTAAACGGCACCAAAACATGCAAACAAGGACAAGCAGAGTCAAGAATATTTTCTATTGTTTATATAATACGAAAACAAGAATGAGCATTCGTCTACCCCCAAAAGCACATAAATCAAATCGGTTTGTTCAAGGCATATAGTCAACTACCTTGTTCTTAACTCTGACCTAAGTTGTAGGATAAATGTGCAGAACGATATAGAGATATGCAGATACAGAGGACTTCTTGGATTTAAGTTTGTTCACGTTCAAAAATTAGAAGAATCCAAAGCCAGGCACAGCATGGCATTCATGTCAAGTAGACAAGACCCCGGAAAAAATAAGTAAAAACTATCAATCTACTCATCGGAAAATTCCAAACCGACCTCCTAAGTTGAAAATTTTGGGGGATATCAATCCATCTCCGATCCATGTTATATAGCACATTTGGCCATGAAGGTAACATTAATCTATGAAGCACATTGATTGCAAATTAAGAACAAATACATCCGCTAATGTGCAAAAGAACAAATTCTAAGTAACATGTTTGATGCTACTAGTTATTATGACAAGGAAAGATTAACGAGGGCTACTAAGCACATCGATGAACATACGATTTACCGAAGGTAGCCGCATTTGCTGATCCTTTGATCTACTCCTTTTGAATAGCAGCTGTGGTGATGACGGCATAGTCCACATATCACCCGAGTTACCGCAGCTAAACAATGCATCAATAACACCATCAGGACTGCTTGATATTGATCCATGCTTGCATTTTCCACCTTTGTTTCGTTTGCATTTTCCTTCCAATAACTCGGAGATGAGCTCACAGCACACAGTTACTTCAGCCTGTTGAAAGGAAAGGCACAATTAACTAAAAGAAAATGAGTTTCAATGTACTCTATGCAAGGTAAATTGTTTACGAAATACAAACCTCATTTGTCTTGAGTACTAGAATAAGCTGTTTCATATATTCAAGGTAATGGCCTGGTTCAATATCTTTAATGACATACAACATTGTTGCAGCAGCTAATATTGAAGGAACATAAAGCATGGACTTCGAATCTGGATCGATATTGAATTGGAAAATTAATATCAGAACTCAAGAAATGGTCACACGTTCTCAGTTTCCTTCTTGGAACAAGTAATCTGAAGTATATATTTCACCTGCAATGAGAATGAGAAGTAATTGTTCACAACTGTGAAGGAATTCCCAATGCAAATGAGTCCTCAGTCCAAGCCTCCTTGTAATGTGAACAAAGAAGGAAATTGGGGTCACAGGATTCATCCTCCATTGCAGAGTAGACAACACCAAAAGCTCCATTTTTTGTACAGTTTTTGAATCAAACACAAATTCTGCTTCCTCAATCTAGGGAAAAAATCACAAAAACCCCATCTGTTAGAACTCAAAAACTGAAATTTATGAACAAAAAATGGACTAGAATCAGACATTTTAACACATACTTGGAGGTCTAAAAGAAGTGGCACTTGGAGTTCCTCGACCTTTGCAGCTAAAGACAAACAAGCAACAGCAGCTAATTGCCCCATCCATGGCTTATCTTTTTGGAACTTAAAGCTTGAAATGAACCTATCAAAGTAATTCACTGCAAGAACTATGGTTAAAGCATTGAACTCATGGCGAGCTTTAACCTTGAAGATCCACTCCAAAGCTTCTTCACGAGCTGAAATCAAAGACTCATCTGAGTTAACATCAATTAAACAATGATGGGTTTGTTTCTCTTTTGACATTAAAGAGATTAACTCATCTTCTTCCCAGAGCAGATCATGTTCAATAAGAAACAAAGGTAAAAATGTCTCATTTTCAACTGTTTCAGTTTCGCCACAACTTTGGCTTCCGTTTTCTTCACAACTGAGCCAGTCGAAAATCAACAATGGTGGAGTTTGAATCTGCTGAATCTCTTCTTCTTGCAGAGGCATAGCTTTTCAAAGATAAAGGAGATTAATTTTTGTTTCATTCCGACACCATACAAAACACAGCAAATCTAAATCTCATTCTCTTCCCCTTTCTTTTCACTTGTCTTTGCAGTTTCTTATACACTTGTAAGGGCTTTATCTGAGAAGCCTGTCAAAGTTGCCCCTTTTATCCCCTCCTAACTCCATTTTCTTCTTTCCCATATATATTTATCATTATGTTCTTTTTAAAGAAAATCAGCTGAAAATATCTCCTATATATTTTTAGGGTAAACTATGTTATTTAGTCATCCAATTATCATTTTAATTTTACTTTGGTCATTTAATTATTTTTCTAAAAATCATCACTAATGTTATATTTTTGTTTCAATTTGACCACTTATCGTTAAAAAATTAACAATAATGCTGACATGTCACCATTATATAATGTTACATTATCATTGAAAAAATAAAAAATATCACACTAGTAGTTCTGTTAATTTTTTAACAGCAATTAATCAAAATAAAATCAAAACGTAACGTAACGTTAGTGATAATGTTCAAAAAAATAGTTGGATAACCAAAACGAAATCAAAATGATAGCTGAGTGACTAAATACATAGTTTACTCAAGTTTTTTATAATTATTTATATCTAATTTTAATTTTACTTTAATATTATATTTTTGTTATGTAATAATATTTGTTAGAGTTATTTTAGAAAGAAATATATTTATATATATATAAACGAATTGGCATCGGATACTCAATTTTCGGATTTATACGAAAATTAATGTATTTACGAAAAGTAAAGAAGACCAAAAGGGTATTCAGAAATCTGATACGTATTTATGTCAGTGGATACGTATCATAAGTTTCTCGTACATTATCTACGAAAGCGTATCATGATTTTGCCAATTCTGTTACATTCATCCCAAAACCACTCTCACATGCAAGATACTGGCCAACACGCGAATGATCATCCGGTCAATTTCGCAGTAAAAACGACGCGCTGACTTGGGGTGGGATTTTATCTTTTAGATATTACGGAAGTATAAAACTGTTGACCGTCTAAAACAGGGATTTGTCACGTTGGCAGTTGAAAAGAAGTTTTGATGTTTATAAATATATATAACGGTAATAGTGTAATTTTTGTTTTATTAGTGATAAGACGGGAAAGAACTCGAGGGGTCGAGTTGATCTGTCACTCCCGGTATCATATTTAAATTAGTTATTTTCTATACTTAGTATCATTATATATCTTACAATACTATAATTTTTTTTAATTTTATAAACTGAATTAGAAAAATATTATATGGGTATAATTACAAAAACTTTATAAAAGGATTTAGTTGATAGTATATGAATTTTTATTATTAACAACGTGTGATAATATTTTATATTTAATTATAGAATTTTTAGTTATTCTATTGAGAGTGAGCATAACAAATAGTACTTTTTTTCGAAAAGGGAAAATTACACTAACAACCCATTAAATTAAAATGGCTTAACGCTCAAATAATTGTTAAAGTTATACATTTTTGTCAAATAAGTGCCTATATTTTTTGGTCCATGTGGGTGCCTAACGTTACAAACATTAGCACTTTAAGTGACCGGGCCGTCAACGGCGTTAGTTTTTCCGTTAAGTGACACGTGTTGTAACTTGGTAATTTTGATTTTTTTTAAATATTAAAAAAATTATTATATTTATATAAAAAAAGCCCTGAAATCCTAAATCCTAACCTTAATTCGTCATAGTCGTCCTCTCCAGCCACGACCACCATCGTCAACGTAGTCTTTGTCATCATCCTAGTTATATGCCCTCGTAGTTGCCGTCAATTCAATGTCGGAATCACGTGAGATCGCGATTTTTATCTTAGGGTTTATGGGATTTAAAACTGATCAATCTTCAATCGGTCATGATTTTATAGGGGGTTTGGTTATCGGGGGAAAGGAGGTCGAGTGGAGCTTCTTCGATGGAAAAGGACGTTGTCGGTGTGGGTTTAAGGTTATTTCAAAATTTATGTGTTTTCTTTTTAAATATATATAATATTTTTTTAACTTTATATAATTTTTTTTAAAAAAATTATCAGATTGTGACACGTTTCACTTAACGAAAAGAACTAATGTCGTTAACTATCCGGACACCTAAATGAGTAACGATTGTACGTTAGGCACCCGAACAAACCAAAAAAATTATAGACACTTATTTGACACAAAAAGTATAGTTTAGGCACTTATTTGGGCATTAAGCCAATTAAAATTAGTAAATATTATTTTTATAAGTTATTGAAAAGAAGAAGATCATTGACGTATAAATCATGAGAAGGTTATGTATTTATTTATGGAATCGATATAAAGGCCAACAGTCAGAGCCGCACAACGTACACAAACAGCGACATCTCATTACAGTCCAACACAGAAAAGATTTCTGAAGTTAAATTAGTATAATTTTTTGTTATTAATTTAATTTAATCGAATTATCAACTATAACATAAGTTAAACATATTAATTATTTGATTTGAGAATATGGTTTTTCCGATACACTGTTAATGTGTCAAATTACATTATTTGTACTTTCATGGAGCATAATTAGAGGAGTAAGGATGTCTATTGACTGGTCTCAAAGCCTCAAAGGTCATAAATTTTAAATTCCAAAATCCTCCCTACTTAAATTCTTAAGTTTATAATCGTTGTCGATGGTTAATGTCTTCGTTGAGCGTACACTTATTCGTTATTGGTCGATAATCTCTTTTTATCGCTAAAATTCCAAAAATTCGTAAATTTAAATAGGGAATTAGAATTTTAGAAACTTTTATCGGTTTAATTGAAACGAGTCTAAAATAACTTACTAGTGTGAAACCTAAAGATTTGACTATCAAATCAGTTTGGTCTACTCGCCTACGTATAATTATCATTATTATATGTATGACATAATAATTTAGAGTCACCATAAATATATTTTAGCCCTTAGTGAGAGGAGGTTTCTTCTTCTTCTACACTCAACGCTTCCCTGTATTTCACATAAAAACATTGGCGATTCTTACATACGGCAATTCCCTACATAAATCAAAAGAGATAAATTTATAACGACCGACAAATCAAACTTATTTCTATTAGCAACTAAAATATTTATCGCACGTGTTTAAAATCTGTAATAATTAATAATTTTAACCTTTTAAGTCGCAAATTATCTAGACATACAACGTTAAATTTTTAAAAAGGAAGATAATATAGACAAATGTCTAAATTTTCAAGCTACCCCAAGCATTGAAAAAATATGGGTGAAAAGAGCGAGCAAAATCCCATTCGAGACATTCAAAAACAAAAGAATCTTCCTTTTTTACAGCCACCGAGTTCTGAGGTTGTACAAGTTATATTTGTCGCAATATTGAGTTTCCACAGAATAATGCTGCCCCCATTTTGACACCCATATTATTTGACTTCCCAACATCATTACAAAGCTCTCTGTGAGTTGTTTGCAATTTTGAATCTTTTGATTACAAGTCAACTTCTCTTCTTCTTGCTTTCTCTATCACTTCCCCCAAAGCATGCTTCCATGCCCCCCCCCCCATTTATGGATTTGGTGGAGGTAGGGTCGGCTCAATTCGAAATCCATTTATTTTCTGGAATCCTCCTCTTCTTCTTCTTCTACTAGGGTTGAGGGGTAGGATTATTTAAATTTGAATCCAACACTTGTTATCTTTTGTTAATGAGAATTTATGTATAGTAAATCATTTATTATTGCATTAATGGTTGCATAAAAATAGATTTTAAATTAGTTATTAAAAATTTATTTTTCCTCTCATATCAGATATTTACTTAACTAGAAAACACTACAAACTTCATGAATCTTGTGTCCAACCATTTAATTTTTTTTTATTTTTCTATATTTACTCTGTCGTTGGATAGAACTCGAACATAGGTATATTACCCCTCGTTCAAAAGTAGCTTGTCAAATAGACTCTGATTTTTAGGGATCCACCAAAATTGAAGGTGAACTTTTTTATGATTTCTTCTTTATGCCTAATGAATGATTGTATCATATAGGTTGAGTAAAAGTTTAAAAAGACGACCGCCATGCTTAAACAACAGTTAGCAATGGAGCAGATGACAAGGTTGAAGGCAAGTGGAGAGCTACACACTTTTTAGAGAAAATCGCCTCAGTGACTAAAAATGCCTTATAATATACGATTTTAACCAACTTTTTTTGAATTTGCCAAAATGACCAACAAAATCGCAATGCGAAATAAAAATCGCAACGCGATCTCCAGAATTGCAAATTAGTTCCCAGAATCGCAACGCGATTATGAAGAATCGCAATGCGATAGTACAAATTCACATTGCGATTTTCCATAATCGCAACGCGAACATATAAATCGCAACGCGATTCTAACTATCGCAACGAGTATCCGTAAAATCGCAACGCGTATCCGTAAATCACAACGACAATACGTAAAATCGCAATGTGTATCCGTAAATCGCAACGAGAATACGTAAATCGCAACGCGTATCTGTAAATCGCAATGAGAATACGTAAATCGCAATGCGTATCCATAAATCGCAATACGAATACGTAAATCGCAATGCGAATACGTAAATCGCAATGCGAATCTGTAAATCGCAACGAGATTCTGACTATCGCAATACTGAATTTCAAATTCACAACTCGATTTCTGAATTCGCAACAAGTTTTAATTTCGCAACACAAATGTTTTGGGTATATAACTACGCAGCAGCAGCAACTCATAACCTAAATCCCTAAATCGCAACTCATTCCATCTCCATCTATCATTCTCTCCGGCGACATCCGTTCCTATATCCAAAGACATCCTTCCCCATCCGGCAACAGGTTTTAGTTTCACAGCTCGTTTGTTTAGTAAATTAATTTACAATAATTAAATCATCTAATGTTGATCATGTTTGGATAGATTTGTGTTTTGGAGGGTCATGGGAGAATGTTCATGGTGTTTTACAATATATGCCTTTACCCATGAATCTTCAACTAAAACTGTCATTAAAAAAGTTAACTTATGAAACTCTAATGTTACGTGTTGCAAATAAATTGAATTTAGAGCCCCTAAGTGGATTTAGGCTATCTTATCAGAGAAATGGTAAAGTTTATTTGTTAACCGACAATGAAGATGTTGAACGATTCATTGC